ATAACGATTAGAACTTAATTAAGAAAGAATAATAATTAAGATTTTTTTCTTAATCGATAGTAATAATAATATAGAGAGATAAATTACGAAAAGATAAGACTTTAAATAATAAAATCCGTTCTTTACTAGAAGAAAATAGATTCTCGATTAGTCTCTATAGAGATACTTATATTTTTTTAATAGAGACTATTATAGAATAGAAAATATCGTCTTCGTTTTTTAAGATAAATTTGAATATCGCTAGATCTTAAGATAAAGGATTCTAAGCTTTTAGAATACGATAACGAAAAATTTAGCGACTTTCAGACATCGAATATTAATAAAAATAAATATATTCATTTTATAAACTCTACTCTTATATTTGAGAAAGAATTATAAATTATTCTATCTTCGATGCTAGTATAAAATTTAAGATATCGAATAGTAAATTAATTAATTATCGAGGATATAGAATTTAACGAGATATCTCTTCGAGCGAAAAGAGATAAGTCTAATCGTGAAATAAAATAGAAAAATAGAGTATTTAATAGATAACGATATTAGAGATATTTTAATAAAGATATTAACTATTAAATAAGCGAATTTAAATATATTTAATACTTTAAGAGTAAATATAAATATAAAGAACTATAACTTAATTTAAATAGTAAATTATTACTTACGCGTTAATATAGTAGTATATTAATAAACTAAGATAATAAGTTAATATTAAATTAAAGATATTATAGATATAATAGAAGATACGTAAAGTATAATACGACGTAATTAATTAATTATAGAAATCTATATATAAATTATAAAACTAAGAATACTTTTTATAAGTTAATTAAATAGTATATAAAGATATAAAAGAAACTAGTATATTTATAGTATTAATTAAAAGATGCTCGATACGATCGAGATAAGCTATATAATATCTATTTTAGAAAATTATACTCGCGATATATATACGAATTAAAGAATAAAATACGTTAAATTACGATATAGATAAATTTAATATTCTTCGAGTAATAATTATTACGAAATAATATAAATATTAACTATTTTAATCTAAAAGCGATATCTATATACGCTCGATACTTATATAAGTATAAAGAATAAAACTACGACTTTAAATTTAAAGATCTATTATATAATAAATATTTTAAATTAAAATCGTATAATATTAATTATTATCGTTATTAGTTTATATCTAATAAGTATAAATTAATTACTACGCGAATATTTAAGATAGAAGATAAAAAAATAGTTCGCGATAAGACGTATATAAATAATCTAGTAAATAAAAAGAGAGCTTCTAGATGAAAGGAATTCGAGGGAAATATTAATATCGGCTTTTAAATTCGATAGCGACTTTAAGATAGTATATATAAGAATTATAACTGAGAACTCTAGAGTAGCTACGAGAGAAAGACTAATAAGTTATAGATTATCGAAAGTCTTTATAATAATATTCTCGCTTACGATATTATAGAGCTTAATCGATATCGATCTTCGATTAAATTTATAATCTTATTTCGAGACTATTAAGAGCTCGAATTTATAAAAATAGATAAAGATTATATAAGTCGAGTACGATAGTCTTATAAAAAATAATATATAAAGAGTTACTATTTTACTATCGAGGCGAAAAGCATTAATAATTAAATAGATATTAAAGAAGAAATTTAAATTATTTAATAAGATCGTTAAGTATAAAGCTAGAATAGTTATAAGAGATTTTTAGTAAGTAAAAGAATATAATTATATAGAGATATATTCGAGTATAATTAAAGCTATCGCGTATCGACTTCTTTTTATACTAATGATTTTAAATAATTAAACTTATTATTAAATAAACGTTTCTACTATATTTTTAAATAAGAACGTATTAAAGAAAATATATATATATTCTTTATAAGAGTATTTATATTTAGATAAGGTTCTTCGATTATTTAAAGTCTTATATAAATTTAAATAATCTCTACGATTAAGAAAAAACTATTAATAATAATAAAAGAAAAATAATATATTCTATTAGATAACTTATATAACATATAATTAAAAATTAATATTTTAATCTACGAAAAAAATTTATTTAAGTAAAGATCGAACGATTCTTTAAAAATAGAACGAGCAGACTAAGTATCTAATATAAACTTAATAAATAAATAATAAATTAAATATATAAAACGATTTTATTTAATAAGTGTTAGAAAGAACGAGTTACTAGAATCTAAATTAACTCATCTATTAAATTTAACTCAAAATTATTAAAAGAAATAGAAAAACGAAGACTTAAAATTTAGAGTCGCGTATATATTTATAATTAAATCTCTAAATTATCTATAAATAAAGACGATATAGAAATTAATATTTCTAGTATTACTAGTTTTAAGATATATAATAAATTTAAATTAAGCTTAAATAAATACTATTCTATAGAAGTTTAAATATTTTATAGAAACTTTAAAGAGAGATCTATTTTTTAATAAAGATGGGGAGTTAACGTTTCGCGGGTTTATTAATAGTAATTAAGAGAGTAATATAAATATAAAAAAATTAAAAATCGAGTAAGTCTTTATTCTAATTAAGTATTTAATATTATAATCGTTTTAAAGATAAAAGATTATCTCTAGCTCGTCGATAGAGATTAAATATATTACGATATCTAACGCTTATAAAGAGATAATTTAGCTAAAGAATTTCTAAAATAAGATTATCTTATATATAAAATATCTTAAGTAGAAATCTATTTCTCTAGTAATCGATAACGTATCTACTCTAAAATTAACTAAGAATCTCGAATTTTATAATAGAATTAAGTATATTAATATTAGATATTATTTTATTCGCGAATATATAAAGTAAGAGAAAATTATTTCTAATTGAATATTAGAGAAGATTAATTTAATAAATTTATTTATAAAGACGTTATTAAAGATATTATTTCTAGAAAATATTATACGACTTAATAGTAGTTTATTTATCTCTAATTTCTCTAAGATAAGTAAAGTTTCTAATAAGAATATTGCTTAAGAGAGAGTTAGTAAGATATTTTAAACTAGAGAAAATATTAGATAAAGAACTCTTTATATCTTATCATATTCGTATAAATATATTCGAAAGAAAATAACGTATTTATATAAATATATTCGAAATAAAATAACTAAATTTAGAAGTTAATATAACTAGTATTATCTCTTTATACGTAGAAATATATATATTTATATAGCGAGATTTCTATCTCGATAGATAGATTAATTCTATATCTTATCTATTTAATAAAATCGCTACTTTCGTAGTCGCGTTATTATACTGGCAAAGGAGGGATATTCATGAGATATTTCATATCAGTGATACTATATCGTACCCGGGTAGGTAGATAGGGTCGGATACATATTATTTTCTGGTATGGGTTCGGGATCTGGCGGGATATTCTACGGTAGGTATATCTGTGGTATCATACTATGGAATGGATATGTATGGGAACCCACTGAGATTTCTATATTTAGAAGTATAAGTAGCTATTCGATCATCATCTGGTTAATCAGGCTACCACTATCATCTATCAACTGTCACTATCAGGCCACTATCATGGCCACTTCTACATGGCGTACGCCAAGCTACCACTATCATAACACTACTATCATGGCTACCATATGACAGTAGGCTATTCAATAGTAAAAGTGGTAGCCATGATAGTGGTAGCATGGTAGTGGCAGGCAGGTGGCAGGCATGGTAGTGGCAGGCATGGTAGTGGCAGGCAGGTAGTGGCAGGCATGGTAGTGGCAGGCATGGTAGTGCCAGCCATGGAGTGTCAGTTATGGTAGTGCCAGCCATGGTAGTATTTCGAATGGGGGAGATACGATTAGTCGTTACCAGAATGATGATTAGAATAGCTACTTATACTTCAAATATAGAAATCCCAACGGGATATCCCATACATATATCATTCCATGGTAGATATTATAGATATATCATACCGTGGGATATCCCGTCAAGATCCATATCATATCAGGTATGGGATCATGCAAATCTCAATAACTTATATCATATCAGAGTATGGTATGGCGGTTAATATCCATATTATATGATACCTTTCCGGCCAGTAGTCGCGTAATACTCTTAATAGTTTAATTACTTTATTTATAAGCCTAGACTAATCTAAAATAAAGCTATTTATATAGTTTATAGTTCGTTTAAATCTTAATCGATTAAGTAAATTTAAACTAATCTATAAACTAGTTCGACTACTCCTTTATAGCTTTTAAAGTACTTTCTTTAAAGTATCGACAATAGCATATAGATCTCCCTTCAAAAAGAGACCCAATTAAAATCATAACTTCAGACACTTTAAGAGCTCTATAACCTCGATCTTAAGACTAGCTCTTTGATCTAAAATCGTGACCCTATTACTACTAAAAATACGCACATCATATCTAGATATGTACCACCAAATTCACCTACACAAATTCTTATCTGGACTAATAGTTAGACTAGTTCGTTTAGGCATCTGGACTAGTTTATGCATAGTCCGTCCATCCATGGACCAGTCCGACTAATAGTCCAGAGATTGGGGGCGGAATATTGGAAGCATTGGGGCCGCGGCAAACTTCAATTACCAGAACACCTACATGCAGGAGGGGGCCCTGGCGGACGGCTGTACGGATATCCTGGCTAACCAACCGCTCGGCAGGGGAAATGTGATACACGATCCTGACTCTCCTGGCTGGGATGGAATTGCTGGAAGCCATCCGGCCACGCTAGAATTGGGCAATGGGACAACCATCCCGTATGGGAGGATTTGTACGCAGACACATGCAGGGAGGAAATGTACTGGTCCCTAGAGAAGGACAAGAGGTGCAGTGTCTTCCAATGATGAGAACTTGGGCCACGGAGTTTTTTTAAAAGGTCACGTTCGTCGCGTTCTTTCTCCAGCCGTTTTCTGTTGGCAAGAGTTGGCATTACCAAGTTAGTCGAAGAAGAACCCCTCGCAAATCTTACCCCCATGCCAAGTTTCATGACATTCGAACTACAGGACTATTCTTCGCAGGCGTTTCGTTACCAGCCATAAGATCCGGCTGCACCATTTTCAAGTCTTGCCACACGACCTCTTTTGCCAATCCAGTGAGATGATCCAAATCAACCACTCGAAACGACCGCATCTCATCTTCCTCATAGGGTTCAGCGGGATAATGTGACACCACACCCGCTGCGTTCACCAACGTCCATGAGCGGCCTTCTTTACCAGTGCCCTTGTGGTGGCGAAGGCCAATCCCTGCCCCGCTGTGCACATGACCACATACGACGAGTTTGCAAGCGATAGGTATGTGGGAAGCCAGCTTCTCGTCTCCACCCGAAGGGTTCGCTTGGTCTCTATCGAGAAATTGGGAGCCGATGGGAGGGAGATCTAGTGGCGGGCCGTGGACGATGAGGATGTCGGTGTTGTACGGGATGATGCATTTCCCATCGGTCATCCAGGGATCTGTACACATGATATGTTAGCTGAGTAACGACATCGAACATTGAGATCGAATAGAGAAGAGTGGAAGCCACCTGTGCCGGGTTCATGTTGGAAAGCATACGTGTTCCCTTTCAAACTCTTTGGGCTGCCAAAAACTCGCCAAGTGTGACCACGAACGACAATTTCACAGGCCTCGTCTTGCAAGTATCGAAAACCACGGTTGGTGTCACTGAAGGCGTCTTGGATCGCCTTCTTGGCCGCGCTGTCAGGCGCTAGAGGATTGTTATACAGATGACCGAGAAACGAATCGTGATTCCCTCCGATCACGACTTTGAACGAGTGAGACGCGTTTTTGATCCAGTCCAATTGTTTAATCTCATCTTGATAAGTTTTGATGCCTTGAGGATCCTGAAGTAAATCGCCAGCGTGGATCAGGACGTCACCGTTTGGAATTTGTGAGATACGGGGGGTTCGTGAGTGGGTGTCCGATATCATAACGATGCGGGTGGACATGATGATTTATATTCCGATTGGTGTTATACATAGATTAATGATGCTGTCTTGCGCTAGCCAAGATCACGCGTATGCTGCAAATGAGACAATTGTAGTGGACAAATACAAAAGAAAGATGGGAGATGCAAAGAGAAAGAACTCTTGGTATAATGTAAGGACAGCAGGGCGATGAGCGCCTGAGCGTAATACGGTGGGAAGATCCAGATCCGTGCTGTAAGTTTTTTAGGTCATGCCTCGCCACAGTAGGTGTTGGCATATAACGTAAGTTGGGTCGATCTGGATCCTGCCCGAGGCTGGACATCGGAGATGGTAATATTAGGGTTAACTTTTGCATCACTTCTTCTTGAACTACCAAGACATCCGCGCCGAAAAATCAACCCTTAATACAGCAACTGAGAATGGAAATGAAAGTGACAAGCCATCGTACTCATTGTTATCGCAATCTTCGCCGCGTGTTTCAAGGACCGAGGCTGTAGCTTATTACTATTCCCTGTGAAGATCCCGTAAAGAGCGCTTTAATTAGCCGTCGAGCCGTCTCAGGTAATAGCCTCTTTGAATCATAGCCACTTTGAATCGAGTAAATTATCGAATCATACCTCGAAAGTACGAATCCTTATCGAGTCATACCCCTACACCAAATAACTCACCGAATCATACCCCAAGTAATAGAAATTTATCGAATCATACCCTATATTTGGGTGGAATTTGGTGTAGGGGTATGATTCGGTAAGGACCATACTTTCGAGGTATGAATTAGTAATTCGCCCTCTTTGGATCGCAAGCGAGTGTCTTATTTTCAACGGAATCCAAAGACGAAAATAGAGTTGCCTGCGGTTCTGACCACCAAAAGGATCTGCTCTAGTATCCAGATCCCTCGAATATGGCGTCTTCCGAACTCCTAATATACTTACGGCGGGCTTCTAGATCCGCTTAGAGTACGGCTTTAGGCTTACAGTACCAAATCCGACTTACATGAGCGCGCTTTATCCGCCTCCGAAAATGGACGATCAAAGTATATTCGTTATCGCCATGAGACTCAAGCCGCTTGTCGAGTGTTAATTCGGACCTCTCCATCAATAGCATGGCCTCGAATGATCCGATTAACCAGAAAATGATATTGGAGTGTATAAGGCAACCCCAATAATCTTCCCACATGCTCGTGACTCTCATCTCATCGGTCTTCTATTGTCATTCGTGCATAGTAACATGAAAGCCTATATATCAGCTGCAATTCAAAGTTTCAGCATGCCTGGCTTTAGAAAAGCACCCGGTACAACTCATTGAAGGACTTCAGCGGCCAAAGTCTAACCACAAAACTCGATGTCACTATACCTCTCTTGCATGCTTGCATCTGCCCCCTTTTGTTTGCTAAAATGCGCAGGAACTCGCATGATGAAAAAGAAGGTGATCAACCCGCAGTAGTAAGACCATTGATACTCAAAGTTGGCTGCACCTATGCAAGCATGAGTAAAGTAACTGTCTACTTGCTGATGTAAAGGGTGTCAGGATGGGGCAATGACGCAATCTCTATAGTATCTTGCAAGCGGATTGGCCGAACAGTTCGTCATAAATCTGAACCCTCCTTCTGAGTGAATTAACGCGATGTCCACAGAGGTAGGGCTGTGAACCTTGGATTCAACACATCCGATCCTCTTGATTGACGTGCTAAGAACAGAACATGGTGGAACTCGCTTGCTCTCGCTCGAGATCATGCAACGTTCCAACGAAGCTACACCCTGATGCCCACTCCACCTACGGCCATACGATTATATAGGGCCGAGAGACAGGGGGCCGCAGATACCAGTGCGGATCTTGGGTCTACTATTAATATCAGAGCTGGGAATTCATAAGTCATGGTCTCAGCTTCTAGCAGTACTGCATGCAAAGCATAGATTTATAAAGCGAATGGACAAGACCTCCAATGTCTTACTCTTTAGTAAATCTTCCACTCTGATGGTGTTGTGATAATACTCCCCTTGGCCTTAGATGTAAAAGAGCGTTGTGCACGTGCTTGGTGAAACAACGAATTTTGGTTGAGTGTATCCCGAGACACCAGCTATACCAGGAATGTCGGAAATAGCAACGTGAGGAGGGAGATTGAAGGAGAAGAGAATCCTTCCCCGCCCTACCACCCTCCATCGGCTGGCTGCGGCGGTATGAGCGCCAAACATCACTCCCAGGTGAGGATCGGCCCATTATATGTGGCTAGGCGGGCCGGCACTAGCCTTCCGAGTTGCCATCTGCCCAATAAGGGCGTCTTGCATGATCACCCAGTCCCCAAAGTGTTGCTTGCTAAAAGGGTCAGACGGGAATAGATTCTCGCGAACGTGCAGATTGACTTGAATTAGCACGTGATCACAGATTGATTCCCGTAATAACGGCTACCTGCATGCTTCTTTGTTTCAGACGCTTAGACTTGACAAGACAAGGGGGGATAGGCGTGGTCCTCTATGCTTACACTTTCCATTGGATAGAGATCTGTTCCCTCGCTCGTAGGGCAATCTGTAGAAGGAATTGGCATGGTGTCATCAAGCAATCTGGGGGAGTGACACGAAGTGTGCTTCATCACCGTACTACCGGGATCAATTATTTGCGCACTTCGCATTCTTTTCTGTGTGCTTTGATTATCTGTCTGAGACAATCTAGCTACTTCCCAAATTAGACTAGGCGAGTTGATGTCAAACGGTCTTCGGTCTTCGATGAAACATTATAAGCTGGCATGTCGAATTAGCTTCTGACAGAAGTGATGACTTCTGCAATTACCAAGACATGACCAACGAATTCATGGAGCCTTCTAGGTGCCTTCTTTGCGCTGGAAGTGACGTACAAATTTGCCAATCTTCTAATATTTCCACAGCTCTCAACACCTTCCATTTCCCCGCATGACACTTCTTACTTCGCCCCAATCCAAATGAACCACCCCAACTGCCACTTTCTTAGATTACTATATCTCTGCCTAGACATACAACAGATATAATGTCCGGACAGAAGATACGATTCTTGACCTCTGCTGAGAAGATGTCATCTCTTGGCAAACACTCAAGGATCGATGAACGCATGGAGGGCGACCCAAACGCCTTTGTCTCTGTTCTCATCGATGGAGACTGCTTTCAGGTAGAGCTTTCGAGGCATCCTTTGAGTTTGGGGTAGATGCTAATGCGAAGAGTCTTTCTAGTTTCTGGACAAATACGTCTGCAGTGACCAAGATGGAGGCAGAGAAGCTGCCGTAGCACTGACCCATGCTATCGGTGAATGGCTGCTCGAATGGAAGTTTGAAGTGATGCCTTTGACAGTCCGCATTTCGGGCAATCACGAATGGCTCGGCGACGCCTATTTTGATGCGAATGTGATACCAACCCGCGCGAATTTCGGATGGTTTCTTCAAGGTTTCAACAGCGTTGAGTCATTGGTTGAGTTCGTTCCCACTGAAGAGAGAGTAAGCATGCCCGCTTATCGAGGGCGCAGTAAGTCGAAACAATATGCAGCGGATAGGCATTTGATGCTGACAATTATACGACAGGCCTAACGGACACCCTCAAAGTCAACCTCTTGGATCCACACTGCAAACTGATTCTTTTTGGAGGTGTGATCGATGAGAGAGCCACCAAGATCGTGCAAGACTACAATACAGCAACAGAAAAATTGATGGTCTTCAAGAACTCACGAGGCGCACAAAGCTTGACACGGTTACTGCCCAAGTTACAGCAATGCTCGTTTCAAGGCATATTCCGTGACATCGAGCATCGACCCCAAGTAAAGAGGCCGAAGCCAGTCATCTATCGAAACGCCCTTGGTCAGAGAGTCGACCCTCCCATCAGACCCATGGAATCGGTCATCTCATGGCTTCGACATAAAAAATACTGCAACTATCATTATCTCCGCGGGGAATGCCCAGATAGTCGTTGCACCGCCCGCCACGATGGACGACTTGATAGTGAACAACTGAATGGACTTCGGTACTTGGCAAGAGGCCTTCCGTGCCGACAGTCGAATACCTGCCGGGATCCAATCTGCTATGCTGGCCATCATTGCCCTGTGCCGACTTGCCATCAGACGAATTGCAAATTTTACGGCGACATGCATATCACAGACTTAAGAGTAGTGTCCGAGGATGGATGAGAGTGCCTACGGAACTTTACTGACTTGAAGACAAGCAGAGTCAATGATCATGCACGGCGGCAGTAAGCTACAGGGTTCAAGAAAGCATGGTAAGCAGGTGAAATTCATGTTAGCTTGGAAGGAGAATGCTAGCGGCGACGATTTCAGAACGCTGAATGCGAAAACATGCCAAGCTTAGGGTATCTTTCTTTGCGTGAACCATGAAGTTCACCTGTCTCTTCACTACGATAGCTTTGTCCATAAGAGGCGAGCTGACATCGGCCAACCACATTGCATGTAGCCAGCGGTGGGCATTCAAAGCCCGGTAGTGCAGGTAGACATCAAGGCAAAACCACAAGTAACAGGCTCTGAGCCCCCCTCGTCACTGAGACAGCAAGTCTACTCCCGAAATCGAAGTCGCATAAACAGTGAGCATGCTGCATCAAAAGACCAAGCATAATTTAATACATAGCTTCATCAACAGACATTTTCTCATTTCTACATACCGTGCACATGTCAACAACAGCCACCGCGCTGCCCCACATATCGTATCATCTCGCAGTAGTTGGATGCCGTCTTTTCTGACCTCGTTGATATATTGACCATCCGCTGGTAGTACTGCCGCGACTAAACAGAACCTAGGAGCAGTTCACACCTCCTTGAATACTCTAAGAGTAGTGTGAAAATGATGTTTCACGTACCATCGGCGCTAAATATCTGAAGTAGCTCAGAGGCAGGCATAATGTCTAGGAGCTGTCGGCAGTTGTACAAAGCTGGAAGCTGACTCGTCGAAGGCAACCAGCGGACGTTTGATGGATCTTTATCCTAGGCAGTGAGGGAGTGGATCTCTTGCTGGCCTGGAGGAGTGTTGGACGCTTGGTTTTGCGTCGTGACTCCATTGTCTTGAACGGCTACCAATCCAGTTTGTCTAGGATCCCACCTTGGAACCTATTTCGCACGCAATACAGAGACACAGCGAGCACTGCTGACTTTATATCTCCCAAAGTCACACGGCCAGATACACCCCACGCGAAGAGGGAGACGTCGATGATGCACGTTCTGTCAACTGCAGCTACATCAGCGGAGAATGATCGGATACGCACAACTGTAAACCATGAGAGGAAGATTCAAGGCTCACCGCCAGAAAAGCGGTCTCCAAAAAGTGCAGACAGTATCGGAGTCTGGGATCTGTTCACCACACTGATGCAAATGAGGACGATTGGTTCACCCAGGTCCGTCCCGCTGTCTTCATACTCTAACCTGGCTATCAAAGATACACTCAGATTTATCGCGTCAAGAGTTTCAAAGGTGGTCCCACCTTCGATGTCAGATGTTGAACTCGGGAGCAAATTACCTACCCGCAAAACCAATCGTCATCGGCGCTCAAGAGGATCGATGGGGCCGGGGGAAAAAGGCATAAACATAATGGTCGGGCTACTTATGATGTTTGCGAGGGACGGCATCTTGCAAACCAGCGAGGGTGTTTCTCGATTCAATCTCGAGCTGGGCAAGGATTCGATTACGGCTCTTGGTTTTTCTCAGAATCCTAGCAGTGCCTATCCGACATGCCTTCATTTCCATGTCTCTATTACCTCACAACTTTCCTAAGTTTCCAGCCTAGGGGATCCTCCCTCGATCCCGCACGAGTACCTCAACACCGCTAGATTCCCCAAAGTTGGCATACTCTCACGCCTTTCCTCCCACTTCTCGGTGCATTCCCTCGCTTTGGCATTATGATCTTCTTCAACGCCTTGCAGCTTTTCTGCTGACAAGCTCAAACACGCTAGCCGTGACGTCATGCTTGTAGTAGGACTCACTTTGTTTCCACTGTCCACCTTTTGTTTGAGTTCCATCTGCTCTGTAATATTGTTGACTGGTGAGTCAAGGGACGGGGTCTTGTCGAACTGCATTCCCTCAAACGATGTTCTCAGCGGTGATGTGATGAAGTGGTTAGCTCCAGCGAAGGGCTTCTCGGAGGAGTGCGAGTGCTGAACGTTGCGTTGTAGCTTGAACACGGTGAAGAGCTGGCGAAGGGCTGGCATAGAGGCTACGATTATGCCGATGTTTTGTTCGACGCTAAGGCCTCATGAGTTCGGTGACAGGAAGAATAAGAGAAGTTTTTGCACTAGGAAGTCTCACCAAGACCAAATCGCATCCGGAACGAGGTCCCCTACAAGACGTTCAGCCACTCGGAACATGGTACTGGTAGCCGAGTAAACCTACATGTAAGGTTTTCGCTCCCAAAATCGTACAAGACTATCCTCGCAATAGCCGCTCCTGCGGTACTATGAAAGGATCAGAATCACCGGCGATCCCCCAGAAGATCTTTATGGCCTTACAAAAGGCCAAGTCCTAGCAGAACAAACACAGCCAACTTATTTCGCCAACTGATTTGGAGTTTCCGGAACACCATGATAGGAAGCAGAACGCAAAGGACGTCCATGAAAACCGAAAATGCTGTTATCAGGTGAGCTACGGCTAGAAAACCGACAGTTGCGGATTACATACCGCCCGACGCTTGGTTGATCTTGGTGGTTGCAGCTGTTGATATGCAATGTGCATTGATGGTTTCGTCCCAAATTCCTCGGATTGGGATGCATTGAAAGCACATGGAAAGAAACGTGGCCATCGCAGTGACGGCGAAGAATACCATGAGCCCGTAGGTCCACCTGCCAGCCGTTAGCAACCTTCTCGGCTTTCAATACATAATGACAAAAGGTCACATTCTGTACCAAATGCGAGGACTACCTACCAACGGATTAACCTCTCTGTGAAGGGCAGGAGCTGCAGGATAAACAGACAAACGGAGACCCTGACAAAGGAAGTGCCAATAATGTTGAACAAAATTGTGACAAAAACATCTCGAGTGATGTCTTTGATTTGCGTAGGATCTAAGTATTGAATGTTTCGACCGAATCCCTTCTTGACCTGGAAGATAGCGATGACGCTTTGAATGAGGGCACATGCCTTCGACACTATTAGCGAAAGGGTCGCTGACTGCATCCGTTGTAGGGGCTAGTGTATGATACCAAAGCAGCCAAAATTGTGTAATCATCCACTCCTATCTTCCTTCGGAGCATGCCTCGACTACTGAACCGCAAGAGCACTACGACTATCGCAACAGAGACTAGCGACCACTGCACTGCAACATATTGATACCCGCGGCTCACGTCGGGCGGCAATGATACTGTTGAGTATAGCGAAGCAAACATTCCAGTTCAATTGACTTATTGCTAGAACAACACGCAGCGGCGACAAATGTATAATGAAAAGGACAGGAAAAGGCAGGGTCTGCGCTGCTCTCAATTCCGCACAGGGAGACAGCATGTCTCTGTACGATACACTCAAGGTGGCGATGGAAGTAGACGGATGGATACCGAAGCCAAAGGTCGAGAGACCATGGTCCCGTTATATTATCTCAGTGCACAATGACACATTGATGGGGTCAATGGCTTAGGGGTGGCCTCTGAGACTGAAGCTAAGACATACATCGAGGAGGTTGGCGGAGATCAAACTGTGCGTATTTTCAGAAATACAATCCATAAGAAGCTTCCTGCAGATGGTTTGAACATTACGGGAAACGGAAAAGGAACACGGCAATGATGGACAAGGACGATATAGGTTCGATGAGGCTTGCCAAGAGCCTGAAAGCGTACCCAAGAAATCAACTTGAGTAAATTAGTGGTAAGAAGGCGCCACGGGCCGAGTGAGAAAATCTCTTCTTCCCTGCTCAATAAGTGGATTAAGCTTTCAATGCTCCACCAATACCATTGCCACCACATCTGCTTACAGTGAGCACAATAACTTTAACACAGTGTGTTGGTCGATGACTATCGAGCCATTTTTCACTTTTCGGTAACATTATGAGATAGTGATGTAGGCTTCTAGAAGATTGGTGATGAGGATTAAATGTTGTTGTTGTATAAGGATTCGCGGGTGCCCCTAAAGTCGGTAACTCGGGGAAACGTTTATCCACAGTGAGGTAAGAGGCGCGCTGTGAAGCCCTGACAGCCAAAAGTTGAGGTGATTCTCTCTAGTTACACCTCCCGAGTTGCCGATAAACGACCTTGATTTATCTCATTGAAATCCAAACTAGGGAAATATAGTAATTCGCTTATTGGAAAGCTTACTTTCTTAATACTTAAGAGTTAAAATTCTAAATAGCTTCTACGCTAAGAGGCTAGTAATTAATTAAACCATCGAATTTTACTATTTTTAGTCTAAAATATATCTTATCTCTTTATTTTTAATTTAAACGCGGGTATATACGGGTATATCTAAAAGAGAAAGTTGAAAAAGAACTTTAAAACTTTTAAATCTATTTTCTTTAATTTTTTTCATATTATTTATAATATAATAATAAAGTAAATCTATAGAGTTATAGAACTATTTATACGCTTTTTAATAATACTATAAAATTAAATTTTAATTATATAGTTTTTAATATATATAAATAGTAGATAATTTAATACTTTTTAAAAATCTCGATTAAGATTTAATAATTTATATTTAAGACTTTATAAATCGATTTCTTCTATTTAATCTATTATAATATATTAATATAATCTTTTCTAATTAATTTACTTTTATTATTAATTAATATACTATATTTAAGATAGCTATATCGCGTATTAATAATAGAAATAATCGAAATTATCTTTAAGATCTTTCTATATTCTTACTCTTTATCTCTAATACTTTATATTTATCTCTTAAACGAAGATTACTTAGTAAAATTAATTTTAATACTATAATTATCTAGCCTTTTAATTCTTTAATTATACTTATAAAGAATAGTTTTAAATAAAAGAGAATTAAGATATTAACGATTTCGAGATAATAGTAACTAGCTCGAAAGTATATAAAAGAGATAAAATAAGAAAGATATTTAAGAAAGATAGAGATTACTTAGAAACGTCTACTATATAAGCGAAGAGATTAAAAAAAAATTATATATATAAGATAGTAAGAGTAATACGCCGTAGAATAACTTCTTCGAGTTCTCTTACGTCTATATTAAGTTCTACGTCTATATTTATTCGCTATAATATATATAATATTCTTAAACTATTTAAGATCGTAGTACTATATTTAAACTTTATTTACGATATCTATAAAATTAAGACTTAATCTTATTAAGATTTAAATTATAAGTCGTTATATATCTATTTCTTTTATAATAGAAAGAAATAATCGCGATATTATATATACTATCTTTATTCGATAATCGTCGAAAGATAATATTTAAGAATTCTAGTATTATTATTTATATTACTACTATAAAACTACTATATAATTTATATTAAATAATTATAATCTATTATATAGACTTTATTTAATTCTTTCTATAGTAGAATTATTTTATATAAGTTCTTTTCTTATATAAAGAGATTTTATAGACAGCGTATCCCCCTCTAATCTTTTATACTCCCTTACTATTACTACTTATTTCTTTACTAAACCTCCGAAATTCTTTCTTCTAACGATTTAAACGATATATAAAATACTATCGAACGATCTTCAAGTTTTATCATTTATAATTATCTTATACTAGTTTCGATAGAGTAGAAAGTAGAGTGGAAGGTTATCGAGATTATCTATCTTTTCTATCTTTCTTAAGTAATCTTACTTATTAATTCTTCAATAATTATAAATAGTAGAAAAGCGATAGATTTCTATATAGATTGTAATAGCGACGAAGATTTTTAGCTCCGGAATACGGGTGAGTTTCCAGTAAGGATCTAAAGGACTCTATCGAGAAGTATATAAATTTATACTTTTATAAAGTATATCTTAGATAGTAGTAGTCTATATAAGGCTAAATACTAAATATAAGAGAACTGTAAAGTTATTCGAAAAGTAACTAACGGGTATACGATACTCGATTTATAGTGGTTAATACTTAGATAGTATAGATATACGTCGGAGAAGAATATCACGTTACTTGAGTTTTTCCTTCCTTGCCTCGATCGTAGCCTCTTTTTTTTAACGTTTCTAAGTCTTATATAGTTCGTTCTTATTAGGCTAAGATAGGGTAGCAATTTTAGCTATATTAAATTATATTTAATAAAATAGTAAAGAAGAATATAAAAAAGTCGCGTTCTTGAAAGACGCGATTTTTAAAGCTAAAATATTACCTCGGCTCGGCGATTATCGAATAGATAAACTCGAAATTAATAGTCTACTACGTTCGCTTTTATTAAAAATAATATCTCGCTAAAAATACTTTAATTTTATATTTAAAATAAAAAAATATTAGTCTTAGCTTATTTTATAAAGAATTAGAATTTAATTATTAATTTCTATATTAAGCTCGATAAATTAAAGTAAGAAATATATAACATTTATTAGAAAATCGAATTTAATATAAAACTTTAAATTATTAAGTTATAGATTATTTATAATAGATATTAAAAGAATTATTTAAATAACTTTACCCTTTACTTAATCGAGAATATAATAAATTTAAAGTCTTTATCTTTTTATTTATTATAATTAATAATAGCGAAAAAAATATTAATTATTAAAGTATATATTTAGATAAATATATCTTATATTAAAAGATATTAATATAAATATAAAGATTATATAATTAGTTAGATATAGAATATCTTAAAAGTAATTTAAAGACTTTTCTTCTAATTTTAAAAACTCTAAATATTAAATATAAAATCCTTCTTTTTAAATAGAAGCGAAAGCGAATTTAATTATAAATATTAGCGAAGATTTTATATATATTATTAATATATCGAGATCTAGCTAATCTACTTAATTAAATATTATCTTAATTATCGAGGATTTTATATCGATTAAAGTCGCTTATCTTAATTATTAATAAATAATTATATTATTAATAATATATTAAATATTCTAGATAATAATAAGAAGAAAGATAGTAAGTATATAAAGAAATATAAGAGTATAGAGATTTTAAAAGAATTTAAATTCTAAAAAAAAAGTTTTAAACGTAGATATATAGTTATAATATTTTCTAATTATCTCTCTTTCTCTTATTCTCTCGAGTTTATAAAGATAACTTCTTTAATAGAAGCTCTCGAAGAGCCCTTAAAGAGTCTTTAGAGGATCTTTTAAATATTATAACTTCGTTTTTCTTTCCTTCTTAAAATTCTTTTATTCTTCTCTATTTATTTTTTAATTTTTAATTTATAAAAAGATCTCTTTAATAAAAACCTTCGAAGAGCCTTTAGAGAGTCTTTAAAGAGTCTTTAAAATAATAAATTTATTAACTTTAATTATTTAATTTTAAATTATATTAATAATTTAGAAGTCTTTATTAAAAAGTTATATATATTAAATCTTATAATAAATCTAATAAAGCTTTATATACTTTAAGAATAACTTAATTATATATTTTTATCTTCGATTAAAGCGAATATCTCTTTATACTTTTTAAAATATAATATAATTAATAAATATAATTATTCGTTAAATATCGCTTATATAGCGTTTTCGATACTATTTTTAAATAATATAGTCTCTTTTTATAATATTTATATAAGAGATATTAATTTTAAAAATTATATTAAGTACTTAATAAGATATAAAAATACTAGATTTATATAATATTCTCGCTTTCGTTAATAAATTTTTAATATTATAATAAAAGCGTAATTTAGAGAGATTAATAAATAAATTTAGAAACGTCTAGCTAATCGTAATATAGATCTTTATAAGTTATAAGATTTTATTATTAATAATAATAAGAAGATCTTAAATATCTTAATTCGAAAGACTTAGAGTTTATAAGATATATATCTCTATTAATAGCGAGTAAAGACTAAACTAGAGTTATTTATTTATTATTAAAAGATCTTAAGCGTTTTCTTTATTATTAATACTATTAATTTTTAATAATATAATTTTTATAAGTATATATTTAATAAGAATAAATACTTTAATATTATTAAAGCTTAGCGTTATAGTATAGTCTTTATTATTTCTTTTATAATATTAATTTATCTAATCTATTAATATATATAATAGAATAAGATAGAGCTAAGCTTAAAAATCTTAAATTTATATATATAATTAATTATAAATTTAAATTCGCTACGCTCTT